CCCCAAAACCCCAAAACCCCAAAACCCCAACTATTAGTGGATAATTATAAATATTTAGAATTAATGTCAAAGTAAGCCATGATGCTTATCCCTGTCTAGCTCAGTACCGGAGATGATTCCGTTAACCAACTCAGAAGCGATGACCTTCCTGCAGAACAAAGGGCTCAAGACACTTCTTCCTATAGAGAAGAAAGTTATAGGCCACTTGACAGTCTTCTACAATGGTAAGCAGGGTATCTTAGGTCTGCGCCCTCAGCCTTAAAGGACAGAATAGAGATAAATTAATCAGCTTTACCCTCTCCTCTCTTCAAACTACTTTGAGACACTCTTCAGACTATGAATATGCTAAACAATTTATAGATTCAGGCGAGAAGCATTTTGAGAAGGAAGAGTTTACACAACTTATGGAGAAATATTTCTTAATGAAAACCGAAATGCTTGAGCTCATGAATAACTACTCAAGGTAAGCATCCATATGACTCTTTATAGCGACTTTAGAGGGTAAGGCAAAGAAGAAACATATAATCTATCCATATAAAACTAGGAGATTCAGGCTTGGGCAGGGAATTTAGGAATGGTTAAGGGAAGTCTCTGGTTCAGGAGGAGGCTGGGGCTGAGTGAAGGCTGATAGGACTAGGAAATGAGGTTTAGGAAGGATTTTTGGGGGAATTGTATAGAGAGTTCAGGAAACGAGGAGAGAGTATTATAATGCCTCGGGTTATCTTACAGTCTGAGCAGAAGTGCTCTGCAAGTTATTACATCCTGCCTCAACTTTGCATACTAATTAACTCGATATCTCTTACATTTACTTGATTTGTATGAACCCATTATTCCAGTCAGGAACAACTAGTTGCACAATAAAGCCTGGATTCAGGTCTAGAACTGGAATAATATTATTCTTAAACTTATTACACAAGATGCTTTATCGAAAACACCTTCTATAATTAACCCCATTGTCTTTACTTATATCTTATAAATATTCTTTTGAACTTATTTTTTCCTAAAAATCCTAAATCTGCTCAATTCTACCTTCCTATAACCCCCAGCAAATGCCCAACACACAAGCACCACCTCTGAAACTTCCACTCCCATAACCCCCATCCTCTACACCCCCAAAACCCCTAAAACCCCTTAAACCCCCCACTTAGCCCACAAATTCCAGCCAAATTTTGCCAATTTCTAAATTTCTTCCTGCTCTAAAGTCCCCAGTCACTTCCTTAAGCGGAGTTCTGAAGCTGCTGCTGGTGCTGGAAGGTGAAGGATTAGCAGAGGGATTTTAGGTGGGCAGGGGCTGATGAGGGAAGGAGGGGAGAGGGTGGTAGTTGGGGTGGGAATAGGGGATTAGTTTATGACGAATGGTCCTGATTCTGGCTTGAGTATGGAGAAGTGGGTATTTTAGAGAAAAATCGCAGTAAATGTAAATATAAGTTTTTCATAAATCTCATTGATCTTTTCTATATAACTCAAAAAATTGATTATACCACTCAAACTAAAGATTTTTAAAATTTTCGAAAACTTGAGACATCACCTCCCCTCAGAATCCCCATTTCAAACACTTTCTCTACCTCCTAACCATACTAAACTAGTACTTATCTCCCAAACTTTCCTCCTTCAAAAGCCCTAATTTTTATCCAAACAAACCTCAAAAGGCTCTAAAAAGCATTTTAGGGCAAATCTGATGACTTTAGTAACCAAATATTTCTAAACAATTTAGAATTTAGAGAACTAGATCTCCATGTGATCATCAAGAATATTGAGCAGAGATTCACTCAGAAGGAAATTGATAATTTATTAGAAGATGTCCACAAGGTCTTTGGAGCCAAGTAGTTCAATAAAGAATTATTTTTTGGGGTTTTGGGGTTTTGGGGTTTTGGGGTTTTGGGGTTTTGGGGTTTTGGGG